TGTGTGGGGAGAGCCCGCAAACAGCTCTGCCTTGCCGAAAGCCCGGTCCCCAGCTGAGATGCCTCGTTCTCACCTAGTGGGAGACCACCTGTGTTTACAGAAACAGGCGAGCGCCACCCACTCGGGGGGTTGGTTAACCATTCCCACAGCTCAGAGGTTATCCCCAAAATTGCCCCCGGTTTGCCAATACGGCAAAGCGGGCTGGAAAATGTAGATTGTGAGGTCTCTGGCACAATGACAGTCTGTGTTTGTACAGTACCTTGCACAATATGATCTTGGTTTTCCAGGTGCTACCACAATATACATAAATAATAATGATAATGGGTCTTTGGGAAGGTTTCTGGCCCTACAGTCTGACCAGAAATACCATGAGAACATCCTTTCCTGCCTTGTGCTTATGGTTCCAGACAGGAAAGGAGATATATAAATTTATATGAAAACTTCAGAACCTCAAGAAGTTTAAATCCAAAGATTTGAGAAAGGGTGTTCTTATTCAACAGAACCATTGTCAGATCCTACCTGCAATACATGTAAGAAACAATTGGTTTAATAGTATCTCGGCTCTTTGAGCTCTGGTCATGTGTTACTGGTGTTTTATTCCTCCTATTAACTGGCAGAAGCTAGCCTAGGAAGCATGATCAACCAAGGTTTATTTCCCTGAATATCATGGTAGATACCCTGAAATGTAATGGAGTTTTTAGACATTAGCAGTTTTAATATCGTGGAACTTCATGATCCACCTAATCCTGGTTCACAAGGGGTATATTAACTAAACTGAATGATTTGCTTATTTCAGTAGACGCAGGCATCTTGGGACAGTGGGAGGGAGATGTGGTAGCATGATATAGAAGTTTGTGTCGTAAACGAAGGAAATCCAGATACCTGGAACTGTGGAAGTTGGAGCATATCTCATTATCATCCATCCATCTCTTTCCTATCTCATTCAAAATCCATTGCAAATTTGGCCATCTGGTTAATAAAACTCTTAATGGATTTTAAAATGTAACCTCTTCAGGGGTGGGGGGGGGAGGGATGGTTCATTGTGTGTTTAGCACAATGATGCCCTATACACTGAATGGGGCATCTAGGCATTCCTACAATATAAATAATAGACTTAGTCCATGGTTCTACTTTGACCTCATGTACCTCTCCTCCCTGCTCTCCCCTCCAGTGTTAGCACTCTGTCACCTGGCCATTCAATGGCTCTATGGTGATCACTTAATTCACTTCTAAGTTTCACTCTCTGTGACAGTATTTTTGAGGGGCACATGTGAAGAAAAAAAGTTCACACTTGACACTTGTCAGTCTAGAATGATTTCTCTTGTATTTTTCAAGGCAAGGGAATAGTCCAAATCATAAAATTTAATCCGTTGGGATATTTTGGAACACTTTCAATAATAAGCAGGATAGTAACTTCAGAAAAGTTAATTCTGCACCAGCACTAAAATTATTTACCACAGTATTCACTCAGCAATATGTACATACTACGGCTGGTTGACATTTTTCTAATTTCCACTTATCAATGACGTTTTTGTCTAAACCTTCTCAAAAAAAGAAAATTCTCAGATTTGATTGTGGTGGTTTGTTTCTTTTGTTTGTTTGTTTTTGTTATTCCACAGGCCATAGAGCTGTCAGTTTTGAAAATGATTGAAATGTAAAAACAGTAAAATTTAATATCCTTCAGATGAGTTCTGAATTTATGTGGCAGATATTGCTTCCACTCTGTAGCATTCTTCCTGACAATATGCAAAGGGGCATTCTCTTCAGAGAGAGATGCATCCAACACAATACCAATTGTTCTCCACTGCACACACTCCCCAGAGTCGCTGATGAGGCAAAAGAATAGCTAAAAACGGACCCGAAGTAGAGAAACTATTCTTTCCATGTAATATATTGTGTACATTTTCTACCCCTTCTGGGCTGTAGCTGCATCAGCCATTGTTAGATGTTTTTGCTTCTCAAAAAATGTGTTGTTGTTTTTTAATGCCAAAAAAAGCTCTGTGACCCTCACAGTCTGTTATTTATTAACAGAAGTTATGTTGTGGTGAGGTTGGTTTAAGTGCCCAATGCAAAAATGCTGACTGTCAGATGTTTGCATCTTAATAAGGATGTCTGTGCTGGTGATCTTTCAGGGATAAAGTCCCAAATAGTTTTAGTATCTCACTGCATGTTTTCCTCAGCCGCAATTGGGAGAAACTTACAAAGTTGGAAAACATTTTCAGAACAGCCTTTTCCTTCTAAAAATCTTAAGCACGTGATATTTTCAAGGTCTAGAAATGCACTTTTATTTCATAAGTTACGTATTAAACAGCATGCAGACAGAGGATCATAAGCCTAAAATAGTGAATTTTACATAGCTTTTATTATGGAGTGAGAGTCTCTTCTCTTCTCCTTAGTTAAGGTTGCAACCAGGATTTGGAAGGCTAATTTTAACCTCCTTTGTAAATCAAAAAACAATAAATGCTCATGTTTCAAATGTATATGGTTAAACCTGGTGTGCATTCTTAAAAACTTGGGGAAATTTAGTATGTATTGAGACTATGCACCTTAAAACTGGTTCCTTTTTAAAAGGTTGCAAATTGTCTAATGTTTCTGTCTCCTTCTAGCAGTGCAACCAAATTACTCAACACCCCCCCCCCCAAATTCCATGCAAATGTAGATTTTAACATAGACTTATGCAAAGAGGCAGTTTACAAGGGCAGGATAGTAAAATGTTAAAGAAATGTACATTATTGTCCTAATGAAGCAAGGCCCTGAACTCAACTTCATGGCATTTCTCCATTTGTCTGCTACACACAACTTCCCAAACCCAGTGAAAATCCTCTGTACTCATTTCCCCACTGAAATTTACCCTTTCCCCACCTCACCACTTTTAGAAAAATCTCCCCCTTCTGGTGAACTCCACCATCTCTCTCTCTCTCTCTCTCTCTCTCTCACACACACACACACACACACACACACTACTCTACACACACACACTCTCTCTCTCTCTCCTCTACTTTAGTTCCACCCCACCCACTTTACCTAACCCCCCTATGAAATACCCACTCTCCCTAGAGCCATCTCCCTGCCACTACCCCCCCAGCCTCATCTCCCCGAATGAAATTACCCTATCTTCCTCCCTTGCTGCCTCCTCCCCCTTGAAAATCCTCCAACTAACATTCCCAGTGTTCTTCCCCCGATACAGCCAGTACAGCTTGTTGCCTCACCACCCCTATGAAGCTCCCTAAGTAAGAATCATCAGTGAAATCACTTCCAGTGCCTCAAACCCATCCCATTAAATCTACCTTCCTACTGCCTCAAACTTCCCCTGCTGAATATTCTTCAAGTCCATCACTTCAAACCACTGTCACTTACATGCCCACTGTCTCAGCACTCCCCTACTGCCAGTAAATCACCCTCACTGTCTTATCTCAAGCCACATCTGGTGACAACCGTGCCTCAGACCACCACCCCTTGATTAAATCTCACCAACCTCCCTCGTGAAATACCCCTTCTTCAGTCCTTGCCCATGAAATCCCAACCCACTGCCTCAATTCCTCTTCTCCATCCTTTCCCTTGCTACTATCCCCACCCTCCGTAAAATACCCCCACACTGCACCTCATCCCCTCACAAAATCCCAGTATTGCCTCACCCATTCATGCTGCTGCCTCCTCCACCTCAGCTCAAATCCTCCCCCACTTCCACCCCCATCCCCATCCCCACACTGCTACCCTGTTTCCTC